CTGCAGATCGTTCTGATCTTCACTTGACTACTTCATAATTCTCGGCTTTTCATCTCTCGATGTGTATCAAACCATCTTTCCACCTCTCGAAATTGAATCCAATAAGATGTAAAATGAAAAAAAAATCTGTAACTCTCAAACTAATGGAAATAAAGTCTATGATATCTTGAATACTAAATTGAATATTATCACCGAGAAAAAACAAATTATTGATAAAATGCATAAATTTATTTATTTTTCAAATTATAATTTACAATTATCTGATGTTTTTTGAGTTGATTTATATAAAACGAGACCTTTGTATATATATTCAACTAAAATCACTGTAGCATAAATCCATTTGGCCAAATAACAGATTCAATCCAATCCTTCATCCAATTCAATTAGAAAAATTATATTCTGATTATTAATTTCAACAAATTTTTTTATTAACTTGAATTTAAATACGGCAAACTTACCAAATAGTAAGCAACTCTGGTGCTAATACTCGGCATTCCCGTACCGCAACCGAAACCAAATGAAACAACTCCAATAACCGTAGAAAGACGATGGTTTTTAAAGTGTTGTACTGGCCCACCGCTGTCTCCAGCGCAGCTGTCAGTTATATTGTGTGGATCGTACGTACAATACTGTCCTTGGTTAAGGCCATCTCGAAGAGCTTCGTCATTGGCATATTCATTAAATTTGAGTAGTTTGGCATTACATTCAGCCCACGGCATCGACACAAATTGTGCCTTACGAAGAGCATTTGATTGAGATTGCCCTTTTGTTTCAAACAAAAATATGAATTAAAATCAACGACTTTCATTTAGCATACAAGTCTAACGACTCACCATCGGTGACAGTAGCGCCCCAACCACTCACAATCATTTTTACATCAGCGCTCTCATCGCGAACATCGATTTGCAGACATGCCGGTGCAACGATATCGGTGAAAAATATCCTTGACACTAGAATCAATGCAATATCATTCTTCTTAGTCTTTGCTGAATATTCTGGATGACGTTTGATATCCTATGAAACAGAACGGAAAAAAAACCGAAATGATTTGCTTAACAGCAGTCCGTCTAGACAGACGGAAAAGTGGACGAAAGACAAAATTGTTCACCTTGACATTATGATTTTCTGGACTCTCTTCATCGGTATCGATAAGATTCACCTATTTATTTCGTTTCAAACAATTTTATGAATTATTGAGGAAAAAAGTCACGATAAAATCAGCCTTAGAATGATTTACCTTTCCCAGTCGAACCACACCTGAAATTTTATTAAATATTGGTAATTAAAGTAATTAATAAATTTTGAATTGAAATAATAGTGTGTTTTTTCACCCGGTGATTGAGATTGTGTCACACAATGAGCTGCTGTCAGAATGAAAGTATCAGATATGATTGTGCCACCACAATCAAATGTCACAATGTATGTATTATTTATATGATGAATATAGCCCAAAGCAGCCTACGAATTATGAGAAGAAATACGCATTTCAAGGATATCATTTACCATTTTAGTAAATTTTACAGAAAAATTGAATACCATCCATGGAAATTCTGCTGTCTTTGCCAGTGCAGAGCCTCTTCTCAAAATTTTATTTTCCGTCAACTTCTCGAATGTCTGACAGGCTTTTTTTGGAATTAAATGAAGATAGATTAGATCGACATTTTTCTGTTCGTTGTTCATACAAAATTACCTTGTTGTGCAGGTCTAAGTGATGGTTTCGATAGCACAGCGACTTGTGTCACTAGATTAATTTTGGAAAAATAAACGACAAAAAAAAATTATTCAAATCATTTGCCGTCTCCATTTTTCCGCATTTAAATCTCCGATTAAACTGATTTTTCAATTGTGGAGGCAGGCTTTGACATCCTTTGAAAAAGGCGGATAAAGTGAAGAAAAAAATTACCTTGGTCTAAAGGTATGTTTTTATTCAGCAGTTGTACAATATCCATATGGCCTGGTAAATGTATGATTAAAATTCATGAGCAATTGAATGCACCGTATATTTCGTTGCGTTCAATTACCTTTTTCCAAAGCTAGCTGTGCGGCCGTTTTTCCCTTTGAATCTTTGGCATTTTCATCGGCGCCTCTTTCGATCAAAAGTCGAGCAATTTCGAATTGATCTGAAAATGTGAAAAAAAAATTGTTTGATTCGATTGATCTTCATTCTAAACATAAATATTCAAAATTACTCCAGATAGCAGCTTCATGAAGCGGTGTTCTTCCATCATTGCTTCTAATGTTAATGTCAGCAGTTTTATCGATGAGAAGTCGAGCTACCTCCTTATGACCTAAAAAAGAATGGAAAATATTTTCTTTTTAGACAAATCACGGCGACAAAATATTCAAAATTACCATTATGAACAGCCAAGTGAAGAGGTGTCTTTCCATTGTGGTTTTTTGATTGAAAATCAGCTCCTCTATCAATGAAAAGTTGAGCGATGTCTTTGTGACCTGAAAAATAAAAGATCGATGAAATAGACTGAATCATCTTACCTCTAAGCCCAAAAATTCGAAACTACCATGCGCAGCAGCTTTATGGAGAGGTGTATGCCCATTTTTGTCTATAGATCGAAAATCAGCTCCATTATCGATGAGAAGTTGAACGATATCCTTGTAACCTAGAAAATAATACACCAATGTAATAGATTCAATTTCAATTAAATTGGAATACTTTCTTTCGAAACGTAAATGTTGAATTATTACCATTCGCAGCGGCTCTATGAAGAGGTATGTATCCATCCCCATAGTTCCGAATATTGACTCCCTTCGCGAGTAGATCTCTCACTTGTTGCACATCACCTATGATAGAAACGTGGAATGTCGGTGGTTTTATTGAGTTGAAATTGACTTTTTCAAGTGTGAAATGAAAATTGCATAAATTATAGACGCTTACCATTTTCAACTGCTCTGAATATCTCCTTCGGATCGCTTGATTTCCCCTTGAAAGAGAGGCTGCGAATATTTTTATGATATATACGTTTTATCTGACCAGGCTGCTAATGCGAAACTAACATTGAACGTTTTTCTCTACGTTAACCTTCTTTTGTAGCAAAAAAAGCTTCTAATTTTAGATACACATTAGCCACCTGAACCTGACTAACTATTGAATGCTTTTATGCATATACTTTTTGAGTATATTTTTAACTCGCTTCAAAAACAAGCTACACTTACTTGTCGTTCGTTTCTCTAATGACTCGATGGTCTGGAAGAGATAATCGTTGTAAAAGTGTTAACGACGAGTGTCACTAGAATAATTTATTTTATTCATCACAAATTCATTTGCTTCTTGTAAAATTTTGTAACTATTCTTTTTTTACCTGGATAACTACTGATCACAATGCTTTGAAAACACAAAATGAACGCAATGAAAGATCTCATTTTCTACGACTTGAAATACTTTCACGTAAATATGCTTTTACTATTTTCACTAAACAGAACTAAATATCACATACAACTGATAAGATCTTATCGAAGACAATTCAGAATCGTGATATTTTGTATTTAAACAAAATTTAATGAAGCAATCACTGAACACCGAACAAATGATCAATTAATTCTTTCAAAATATCGAAAACACATTCTACATCTTTTGATTTTATAAAAGCAATGTTCTCGTTGATATGTCGTGTATAGCCGAAAGACTATCTGCTAAATCATTTGCAAAAATCCAAAAATCTGGTTTACCAAAAAAAAAAAAACCAGTCAGGTTTTGTTTATGCGAATTCTACTTAATTCGCGAAATAAACACGATCATTGACAATGCATTGAGAGTTTTTTTCGTAGAAGTTGTATGTGGCGTCATGGTTGGTGACACACATTTAATTATCACCTATTTCATGTTTTAGTAATTGAATTCTAACGAATATGACTAAAAAGGAATTCAAAAGTAACTCTCACAACAATTGTAATCTTTGACATTGAATTGAGTGATATTTGATATAGTGGTTCTTGGTGATGTTCTATGTCGTGATGATTTGCTATAGACGTCATTTGTTTATTTTCACTCTCATTTCAATGTTGGAATCTTTAGTGAAGAGTTTTTTTTTTTTTCAAATATACCCAACATTACAGTGTGCGTGTGTTGCAGAGCATTGAAACTGCTGTTTATATATTTGCTGCTGGTGAACAGATCTGTTCGACAGCAGCTGTTGCTTGCGTGCATATTCGCTGTGATGCGCGTTCGTTCATGTATCGATTCTCGCGCACAGTGTTTATCTCTTTCATTCACACGGAACCAGACAGAGAAGCGTATACAACACACGAGACACGTCGTAAGCGACGCCTGCGTGCACACTCATAGCTGCCGTTCGTGGATTCTTTTTTAAATGCGGTACGTTTTTGTACATATTAAGTACAATCGATTAAGTTTGGTTGAACACCCCCATTACGAACAAATCTTTGTAATTTCGAATATGCAACTCTACATTTCTATTGGTGAGACGTAAAAGAACTCAAGTTGGTCCAACTTCGTAGCAATAAAGAGAAGTATGTTTCATTGCAACTAAAAATGGTTAAAAGAATGTATGTTCATTTTTGGCGGGTCCTCGCGGTTTTTCACGGTTTCCGCGGAACTGATAAGAGATAATAACTTGGAGTCTTCGGCAAAGTTGTAGTACTCGAAGTCTTCTATAACATTGCTGAAGTCAGTTATCTCTTATCTCTTATCAGTTCCGCGAAAAGCGCGAAAGATGATAAGAAAAAAAAGTTCTATATAAAATTTGCTTTTTTATGTGCGTGATTTGCGCGCAACTGATAAGAGATAAGAGATAGGTTTCTTCAGCAATGTTATAGGAGACCTCGAGTGCTACAACTTTGCCGAAAATACCTAGTTGTTATCTCTTATCAGTTGCGCGAAAAACATGAAGACCGCGGAGGCTAGACGGTACTACAACATACTTTCTTTAACGCAGATAGAATCAACAGAAAACATACTTTCCTTTTCAAAAATATAAATCGACCAAAAAACATACATTCTTTTACGTCTCACGAATAGATTTCATGTAGTGCTAAAAATGAACACTTAACGTTTGTCGATTAGTTTCAGCGATGGTGGTGAGTTTATATTTGTCCAACTGTTGAAAAGGCTAAAACACAGAAATACCAATCATATACGGTATAAACGAATAAGTGCAGTGCAGAATAAATATGTCAGCAATGAAAATTCTATGAACAAGTAATTTATTCATTTTGATTGTATTTTTATTTTTCATCCGAAAATATTCAAAAAAGCATGATACACAATATTTTATGGCCTTTAAATCAAACGTTCCACTGGTATTCAGATAAATTTCGGGAGAGTAAATCCATTTGGCCAAATGATAGACTCAATCCAGTCCTTTAATTAGAAAAATTATATTCTGATTATTAATTTCTACAGTTCTTTTATTAACTTAAATTGGAATACGGCAAACTTACCAAATAGTAAGCAACTCTGGTGTTGATACTCGGAAGCCCTTTCCCGCAACCGAAACCAAATGAAATAACTCCAAGAACCGTAGAAATGCGAGAATTTTTAAAGTGCTGTACTGGTCCTCCGCTGTCTCCATAGCAGCTGTCACTGATACCCTGTGGATCGTATGCACAATACTGTCCACGGTTAAGGCCATCTCGAAGAGCTTCTTCACTTGCTTCTCGATTAAATTCCAATAGCTTTGCATTGCATTCATCCCATGGCATCGACGTCAATTCCGCCTTACGCAGAACATTTGACGGAGACGTTTCTTTTTTGTTTGTGAAAAATAATGAAATTTTGCCATTTAACACGCACAGCAAACGAAAGTTAAGAACTGAAGACTTACGGTTGGCATCTGTGTATCCCCAACCCGTTACAATCAATTTTACATCCGCATTTTCATCGCGAACATCGGTTTGTAGGCATGCCGGTGACACGAAACTGGTGAAATAAATGCGTCTGGTGACTCGAATCAATGCAATATCATGCTTTTTTGTATCTTCCGAGTATTCTGGATGGCGTATAATCTCCTGCGTTGCAAAAAGAGGCATGAGTAACACGAAATGGAAGAAAAAATTAAGAGAAAACTTAATTTTTGTCATTTTTCTTACCCGAATATCATAATTGTCTGGCTCCTTGTCATCGTCATCGAGAAGACTCACCTACATTTTAAAAGCAAATGAAATTTTCTTGAAAAATTTTTGATTTTGCATCGAATTCTCTTCTTTATCACTATAGATTTCTCAAAATATCCGAAGTACATACTTTTCCCAATCGAACGACAGTTGGCGGACGAATGCGTGGTACACAATGGGCCGCTTTTAGCACGAAAAATATGCGAATAACATTACAAATGAACGCAATGATTTAAAAGGGACAAAATACCTGTCATTACGAAGTGATAGGAAATAATTGTGCCTCCACACTCGAACCTCACGATATATTTACCCTTTTCGTGGTGAAGAAAACCTAAAGCAGCCTTTTGAAAAAAGATGAAATTCAATGATGAAAATGTCATCATGAAATATATCCCACGAATATCAAAATTGAATACCATCCATGGAAATTCTCCTTCGTTTGCCGGTACAGAAGCGACGCTCAAAATGGTATTTGCTGTCATCTTCATGTACACTTCACAGGCTAATTTCAGAAATGTAAAATTGATTTAATCAGATCGAATGATTGAATTCCCACAACAAATTAAAACTATTCAGTTGAAGAAACGGATTGATAGATATGAAATGATCATTTGAATTACCTTGTTGTGACGGTCTAAGTGATGATTTGAATTCTGAAGCAATTTTTGATACTGAAATTGCATTGAAAATTGAAATTAAATATATAAAAAAATCATTTGAAGATGAATTAAGAGGAAAGCATCGATGAATCACCTTGAGTTTGTGTACTGTCTCTGTTCAGCAGCTCTGCAATATCGTTATGACCTAGCAATGAATGTAAAAAAATGTTCAATTGACTGCTGCATGTATTTCACATCATTAAATCACCATGTTGTGCAGCTATCTCTGCTGCCGTCAGCCCATTTGGGAGTTTCACATGTTTATCGGCACCACTTTTAATTAACAATTTAATGATTTCCAACCGACCCGTCTGTGCTGCTTTATGGAGCGGAGTCCATCCAAATAAATTTGCTGCATTGACATCGTCTCCATTTGCGATTAACTCCCGCGAGGCTGCTTCATGACCTGATCAAATGGCTTGATTCATAAAGCAGTTTGCTTATTTTCGGATTGAAAAATTGAAAATTACCAGCTTGCACCGCTGCAAAGAGGGGAGTAACTTTTTCATTGTTCCTAACATGTAAGTTAACTCCATAGGATAATAGTGTTTTTATCATGTCCACGTCACCTGGAGCAAATGGATTTTTTAGCTATGTATTTACAGATTGTGTACGATTGATATAGCTGAAAATATGTATAGTATACCACTTCGACTAGCTACCAATATGGGCGACCATCCATTGTCATTTTTGATATCCACATAGCTCAAGCCGTGATCAATTAGATCTCTCACTTTTTGCACATCACCTGAATACAGAAGGAAAATTTGATGATTTATTCAGCTAACATTGACTGGTTTTATCAAGTTTGAAGCCAAAACTTGTATGAATTAATAACCCAAGCGAAAGAGTACGATTTGGCTCTATCGTGACGATACATTTCATCGTGGAATAGCGGCTAGCGCATGTACACAACACTTCTCATTTCTCACTGCTGCTATGTTAAACATTAG